GAGGGGAGGAGAGGAGAGGGGAGGGGAGGAGAGGAGAGGGGAGGGGAGGGGAGGAGAGGAGAGGAGAGGAGAGGAAAGGAAAGGAAGAAAGGAAGAGAGGAAAAATGGAAAAAAGACAGAAAGAAAGAAAGAAAGAAGGAAGGAAGGAAGGAAGGAAAAAGAAAGAAAGAAAGAAAGAGAGGGAAGATTTTGAGGAGTGAATGTTTAGCAAGAACAAATATGGTTCTGAATTGTGTTGCAGCTTACCTCAGAAAACCAACTGAAGATGTAAATGCCAAAGGTTATAACCAAATATTTGTATTTATAAGAAATATCAAATACAGCAAAAAGGAATATAGAATGAGAAGACTAAACAAGTACATGGCTTTTCTCTGCTTTTAAGGGCTCTCTCTTTCTAGGGACAGCAAGACACAGACATAAAAATGAAAATAAAGCCAGCACTGCCAAGTGGTAAAGACAATAAGTATCATGGGAATTCAAAGAAACAGGAGACTGCTATGGACTAAGGGAGCTGGAGACAGCTTCTTGGAAAAGCTGAGGCTTGAACAAAATTAAGTAAGTGGAGAAAAGAAAGCAATCCAAAGCATGCAGATAACCCTGTACAAAGATGAGACAGAAATGCACAAATACTATATGTGAGGGACAGGGGACTAACCTAGTTGGAAGAGAAAGTTCTGTTTAGGAGGGTTTGTAGAGACAAGGTTGCAATAATAAAGGAGAACCACACAGCGAAGGCCCTGAATGCCAAGCAAGGCTGCTTAACTTTGTCCCACACATAGAAGGATCCTTTACAGGCCACAAAGAACACTAAGAAAAAAAAATACCTCTAATGATGCAATTTGAAGCCATTTTTCTTGAAGCCTTTGAAGAATGCATCAAGTAGTGTAGCACAGTATCTTGACAATAGAACCACGAACATATGAACATACTGTTTAGGTAATCTGGTCAACAAGAAGGAGTAAACACTCAAGTGTGCCTCCCAAAATACAAAACCAGGTATCCACTACACATTCATAGATCTTAGGAAAATGCCTAAGATGAACACTGAGTGGAAAGCTTTGATATCAGGTTTTCCTCCTCTCTCTATCCTCTTCCAACACACATACCTTCTTTTAATCTCTACAAGCAGAATATACCGAAATTGTCCCACCTCAAAGAAAATGTATTTTACTACTTCTTACCATGGGTGAATTCACTTACTATTTTCTTTTAAAATCACTACATATATCAAAATAATTTTCCATGATTTATTTAAGCAAAGTAAATGAAACAAACACATAAATAGCGAATTTAAAGATAATGAAAAGCAAAAAACCCTTTCACCAAAGGAAAACATAGCTAAAATAAGCAACACTGATTTATAAAGCAGAGGGGAAAGACAAGTGTGTTCCTAACAAAAATGCCAGCCACAACAAAGACTAACCGAGAGTATAAGAAGAACATTGCAATAGCCAATTTCTTACCTAAAATGACAAGCCATGAGTCCATAACTCCACAACGAAGGAGTTTTTTGTTTGTTTGTTTTTTGTTTTCAAAAAAATGCCCTTAAAATGTTTGGCTCTTTCTGCTATAAAAATAAAGACTCTAACATAACTCAAAATAAGGATTATCTTCCCCCGTAACCAGTCACGTAAGTGATTGATGATTTAATTTGCCACTGAAGCAAATACTAATTTAACCACCGCTACCTTCTCAACACTAGGAAAATTAAAAATCTCAATCTTTAAAGGCAAACGTGACAAGAAAGAAACCAAGAATATCCTAGGGTGATAAAACCACATGCGATATCAGAACACAGACGAACCATGACAATATTGTTGTCGTACTCCTGAAAGGGCTAAGCCATTTTGGCAGGCTCCTGCGCCTTTAAGGAGTATGCAGAGATTATGACTTTATGCATTGTGTTTTCCCCGCCCCCCACCCCAGAGGAAAGAGGGGAACGTCCAGGGGAGTTGAACGAAGTGTGCTAAGGAGGGTGCCAGTGCCTCGCTCCCCCCCGGGCCGGGAAACTCGCTCTAACAACAATGCTCTCACTCTTAACATCCCAGCCCCGTTTCCACGCATCTCGCAGTCACCCCGCACCCCGGCTCCCCGCTCTGCCGCTCGCGTTCAGAACAG